TGTCGCCGGGTGTTCTTGAGGCTGTCGCCGGGCGTTCTTGAGGCTGTTGCCTGGTGTTTTTGTGGCTGTCACCGGCCGTTCTTGAGGCTGACGCCAGGTGTTTTTGAGGCTGTTGCCGGGTGCTGTTGAGGCAGTCGCCAGACTTTCTTAATGCTGTTGCCGGTGTTCTTTAAGCTGTCCCCTGGCATTGTTGAGGCTGTCGCAGGATGTTGTTGAAGCTGTCACCAGGCATTTTTGTGGCTGTCGCCTAGTGTTTTGGAGGCCGTTGCGTGGGCGTTTTTGAAGTCGTCGCCGGTCGTTGTTGAGGCTTTTGCCGGGAGTTATTGAGGCTCTCGCCAGGCATTTTTGTGGGTGTCGCCAGGTGTTTTTTAGGTTTTCGCTGAGCAATGTTTAGGCTGTCACTAGGCATTGTTGAGACTGTTGCCTTGTGTTCTTGGGGCTGTCATCGGGCATTCTTGAGACTGTCGCCAGGCATTCTTGAAGCTGTTGCCAAAGATTTTTTAGGTTGTCACCAAGTATTTTAGTGGCCGTCTTCGGGCATTTTTGTGGCTGCCGCCGGACATTTTTGTGGCTGTCGCCAGGCTTTTATCAGGTTGTCGCCAGACATTTTGGAGGCTGTGGCCGGGCATTGTTGAAGCTGTGGCTGGGCATTTTTGTGAGTGTCGCCAGGTGTTTTTGAGGTTGTTGCCGGGCACTGTTGAGGTTATCTAGAGGCATTGTTGAGACTGTCGCCATGTGTTCTTGAGGTTGTAGCCAGGCAATCTTGAGGCTGTTGCCAGGTATTCTTGAGGCTGTCACCTGGCGTTTTTGAGGCTGTTGCCTGACATTTTTGAGGGTGTCACCGGGCATTGTTAAGCCTGACTCCAGGTGCATTTGATTTAGGCTGTTGCTGGGCGTTCTTTAGGCTATAAGGATCATTTTGAGGCCAACACTCAATGTTCTTAGGGTTATTTCCAGAGGTCATTGATATTTATTGATGGACATTTTTCAGGCCAAAAAGTTGTGTTTGTCTGACGGTTCCTTTGAGTCCCTGATCTAGACGATAAGGAAATAACTGTCTAATGTTCATCTGATCTTTGTGTGGTTTTCAGTCAGTATTTTTACTTGGTCCTGCCCATTTCTGCAGGAGATTCTGGTGGAGCAGCGCACAGCTCTTAGTGATTTGTTGCAGCAGCTGCTGAAGCAGAGAGATCAGAGGGAGCAGGAGCTGCTGCAGGTCCTGGTGAGCAAACATTATCATCAGAACACCAGGCTCATCTCAGCACAGAGAACCCAAAGAGAACAGAGTGTTTGTGTGTTTCAGGTGGAGATGGAGAAGAAGTCTGACTCCAACCAGCAGAACTACTGGATGATTCAGTACCAGAGATTGCTGGATGCCAAACCTCTTTCTCTTCGCATGCAGGTCAGAAGAAAGCATGGAGAACTCTCAGAAATGTGTAAAAATCATAAATTTAAGGTTCTAAGAGTGATTTACCTGCAGGAGGCAGGTGTGGAGGAAGAACTGGTCAACCTTCTGTGCAGACTGTCGGCCCAACACTACCTGCCCGTCCTGGCTCATTACCACATTACCACCAAGACGCTTCAGCACATGACGATCTCGGACCTCAAGAAGGTCTGTCTGGGAACTCGTTCTCCCCAGATCTCTGTTGTTACCATGTTTTCTGCTTCAACAGGCCCACACTTTACAATTATGTGTTCAAATACAGCAGGGATTCTGAAACTTAGCACACTGCATCTCATTTAGAGAAAATGTTTTCAGACCCACTTCGAGTCAACAAAACGAGAACTGAGTGAATCAAGTTTTAACAGGAATTGGGGAAATATTTTATATGAAAAAAATCAAAATTTATAAGTTTTAAAGAAATATTTGTTAGTTTAATGTCCAAAAAATGACTTAGTTTAATGACGTTTCATTTCTGTATTGCTCTGTGGAGCGTTTTTATTTTTTCGTTTCCAAAACGAAGAACAACAAAGAACTGCACTTTACGAGAAAAATGAAAACGGACTGCTTCATCTGCCTGTGATTATTAAAAATGGAAAATGGGAATGAGTTTATTTCTACTAAATATCTTTAAAAAGAACAACTTGCAGTGTTTCCCCTACCGTTATAAAAGCGGGGCGCCCCACCCTGTCTACCAAAACCCCCCAACCCACCCATCCACCCAACCACCTGTCGGCACTGACGTAACGCTAAACTAGTGGCTCGCAATGCAGGTGTACTTGCTAAAAAGCTAAAGGCAGCCTCTTCCCTCATGCTGAACCCTCACACTGAACCCACACACACACACACGAAAACTGTTGGTAAAAACAGTGCACCCCCCCCCCACACACACACACACACACACAAAAAAAAATGTCAGCACCTGTCTGAGATTGTATTGAACGCTTTTTGAATTCATCATGTCCTCGATGACTGTCAGTTTAAACAGCGAGCTGCGCAGTTCAGTTCGTATCTCCGACCCCCCCACCCCACCCCCACCCCCAACAAAAATCGCAGACGAGATGAGCGCCCCGCCATGGCAAGGGGAAAAACTGACTTGACAGCCCAAAATCAAAAACATGAGGTAGCTTCTGGCTGGCAAAATGACAGTTCTATCATTATTTAGGGCTAAAATTAAGAGTTTATTGTCTCGTTTCTCACTGATGCTTTTTTTGTGTGTGAAATCATCACTTGACTTTCTGAAGTGACTGGAATGAAATGTTTCAACGGCTCCATCCATCCATCGTCTTACACTTAGTCCGAAGTCGAGGCTCGAGGGCAGCAGCTTGAACAGTGAGGCCCAGACATCTCTTTCCACAGCCACCTCTTCCAGCTCTTCTGGGTCTTCCAGCTTTTCTGGGAGGACTCTAAGGACTCTAAGGCATTCCCAGGCCAACCAAGAGATGTAGTCTGTCCAGAGTGTCATGGGTCTTCCCCGGGGTCTCCTCCCAATTGGACATGCTCGAAGAACCTCCCTAGGGAGTTGCCAAGGGAGCAACCTTACCAGATGCCTGAACCACCTCAACTGGCTCCTCTGGATGTGGAGGAGCAGCGGTTCTACTCGCAGTCTCTCCCGGATAACTGAACTTCTCACCCTATCTCTAAGGGAAAGTCCAGTTACCCTGTGGAGGAAACTCTCTTTTTCTTTCCGCTGCTCTCTTCTTTATGGGTCGCTACAACAAACTATGAAGACTTGGTAATTATTTTTACACCTAATGCCCCTCCTCAGGTCAATCAGGTCTCTCTTGTAAATGAGTCCTCGAGGCTCAATGGGATTTACCTGTCTAAATAAAGGTTGAATGAATAATGCCCCTCCTGATGCAACCACAGACCTTTTGGCTACCACAGCCCTCTGTATGGAGCCGAGAGCTACTATCTATTGGACCTTTTCCACATCTCCTCTTCAGCCCGGTTAGGCTCAGTTTGGTATGGTTTTGAGCACTTTTCCACTGTCATTTTTTCACAGAACCGGACCCTTTTTTGGTACCTTCTTCTCAAGGGAACCAACCAAGCCGGCACAAAAACATGACGCCAGAACACTGTCGGTCACTGACTGGTCTGGGGGATGAGTCACTGGATCTTTCAGAAACTTCTCAAAACACTGATCTGCCATTTTCAATTACTAGGAACTTGGAACAGCGGCTGGATCTATTTTTAAGATTTTAAAAACAATGACAACACCGTGGCTTAATGCTGAAATGCAGGCGTTTTTTGTGCTTTGTGGCCGATGACAAAATTCAGAGCGAGCTAGATGGAGCTCTGCCGGTCTCCCCGGTCTTCCACGGTCCTCCACCAGAGTTTTGGAGCTCACTCAGGCCGTGCAGAGCGTCATCTCCCCGGCTCAGAACTCCATTGGTCACTGCGGAAGATCCTTCGTGCTGCTGGCATGAGCTCCGGATTCTGGCCGTGCATGCTCTGCGAGCTCCAAGCTCTGCTGGTCACCTCAGAGGTTCTTACTAGCTGCTGACTTGCAGAAGGCCGGGGTCCGAACTCGCATGATTAGAAGACCGAACCTCGATCCCGGCAGACGGACAGACCGGGATGGAGGATGGAAACAATTTTTTTTTTTTTACATTTTTTGTTTAAAAAAAATAATGTTTTATTTTTATCAGTGAAGATGAAAAATAAATAAATAAACAGTGCCGGCTTTATCGCAAAATCCTGTTTTCACTTTAATGACTATTAAATAATCTGTTAAAGTTAACTCAGCTGAAAAATCATAAAAAGACACAAAATTATCAGATCTCTCAGGAATATTTCCCTTGAATATGTTTATATTGTTTATATTATATGTATATATATATATATATATATATATATATATATATACATACATACAAACAAAACTGGTCCAGAATGCAGCAGCCCGATTTTTAACCAGTACAGGCAAAAGAGAGCACATTACACCAGTTTTGGC